CCAGTCGAAGCAGTTCGGGAGCTGCCCGGGGCCATTTCCGCAGAGTCACAGCTTTTCGTGCTTGTTGTAGATGGTCCTGGATAGCTCCTTTTGTCGGTGGCGTCACCACTAGTGCCCAGCTCGACACCGGCAGCGCGATGGTGCTCACCGCGGTCGTGCGCAGCCGCATGCTCAGGGGCAGGCGCGCAATCCGCTTCATGCGGGCAAGTGCCTCTTCAAGCTTGCTTCGCTCTCTGGTCGTGAGCGTCGTGCGTTGCATCGTGAAGTCGATTCCGAGGCATTTCATCTTCTTGCTCTGCAGGTGGTGGTTGTCGCACTGGTGCGGTAGCATCGTGAAGGACTGCGTCTTGCTGTCGTTGGTGCGCAGCGCGGTGACCGACTCCAGCAACTCCCACTCCTCCTCGATGCTCCGTAGTTATTCTGCCTCTGTCGTGGCCGCCGTGCGGCCGTCCGCGAAGGTGCAAAAGGTTGCTCGTGGGTGTAGAGCAGCTTGCCGTCGTAGTGGCCCCATGAGCAGGGTGGCCATCCCGAGCATGGCTGCCGGATCCCCTTGTGGCAGACTGTCTTCAACCAGAATTGTCCGTGGTGTTAAGAGCGGGCCGACCTCAACCCACCTCTCCTGCTTGGTCCAGATCGCTTCGATACTGTTGGTGATTCTGGACGGTACTCCGAGTCGCGACCAGGCCTCGCAGACGATCCGGGGGGAAGCCTTTCGAATGCGGAGGCATGATCCCACGACTTGACGTGCAGCTCCGTTTGACGTTCCCGAACCAGCCGCTGCTCCTCCTCGGTCAGCGAGCCGTCCTCGTCGTCGTACCTGTTCGCCGCGATTGTCTCCTCAATGAGCGAGAGGCATGGCTCGATGAGGGATTCGAGGGTTCGCCCTTTGAGACCGCCCCCCTGCGTGGGCAGGAAAGCTGGGCTGAGGTAGGTGGCCAGTTGGTCTGCCCACCATCTGTGCCAGGCGCGGACCACGGCGCTCGCGATTGCGACAGGGCTTAGTCGGGTCAGGCTCGGGAGTGCTGTGTCTGGGTCTTTTGGTAGGTGGACCTGGCGCCACTGCAGGAGTTGCGACGGCCATCCGTGGTGTTCAAAGTATGTGCAGAGGTCAACCAGCTCTTCCAGTGCCTCCTCCGGGAGAAGCATGAGCTCCGAGGGCGCCCATTGGTCTGGCCCTGCTGCTGTGCCTCCGTGTAGCATGTGGCGGAATTGCGCTGCCGCCGGTGGCGCCCAGTGGTCCCAGCAGCCAAGGGCTGCCATGGCGTGTCGTGCTCTATGGTCGTGCTGCTCTGTGCTCGTTGAACATTTTGGCGTGCCTCCTCAATGTAGTCGTCGCAGTGGTAGAAATACCCGCCCACATCGTTGCCACGGCCGCATTCCGTGAAGTGCTGCTCATAGTGGTCACGTATTCTTTCCACCGCGTCTTGTGAAAAGTAGTTGGTTGGCGTGGAGTCGTCGTGTAGTTGCAAGTTCCCGCTGTCATGGTCGCTTTTGGTGTCGTCCTGCACCGCTACGTTGTGGTAGGTGCTCACTGCGTTCCGGATTCAAGCTGCTGTGGTCTTCCAAAGACCGTCTGCCTGGAGCCTCTTCCGCCAGCATTTGACACGCTCGTTCTTGCACCCTTGGATGGCCTTGCCGAGCGCTTTGGTAGTTTGTTCGATGGCTTCTTGGTCGTCGTCCGGCTTGGCGCCGCCCATAGTCTGTTGCCACAACTTCCGATTTTGCCGTTCCCACTGTGCTATCTTCCCGGCTGCTTTCCGCCCCCGCCGTGCCGCCGGGGACCGGAGCCGTTGGATGAGTTGCCGCAGTTGCCGCGTGTGCCGGGTCCAGACGTCGTCGTCTTTCTCCCTTAGGGACAGATTTAGGGACAGCGCCCTTGGTCAGGACCACCGCGGGTTGGGATTGTAGTACTGCCTCTGCTCGTGCACTCCAGTCCGTCCACCACTCGTCCACGGTGCCGTCATGGATGTCGTAAGCAGGTAAAGCCCTCCACTGGGCAGCCAGGCCCTCCACGATGTCCCCATAGGTCGGTGGTGCTGCGTTGTGGGTCTGCTCGTGCTGCGTCGTGGGCGTGCTGCTTGGTGCTGCGTCTGCGCCATGATCGCGTGCTGAATGTTGTTGTGGGTCGTGCTGCGTTGTTGGTCTGCTCGTGCTTTGCGTCGTGGTCGCGCTTGCGGTGCCTTGTGCGTCCGCTCGTGCTGCGTCTTGAGTCGGTTTCAGCGTACAGTACCGTGCCGCACGCCGCCACGAGCATCCGGCAGTAGGTTGTGGAACGTCGAACTGCACATCCATTGTCACCAACTTATGGTCAGAGAGTGTATGTGTATTCGCCACCGCCCTGGTCGTTGTCATAGTTGTCGCGACCATGAAATAGTCGTTCCCCTGGCTCGATTCCCACCTCGTGGACTCTCCTGGGCTCTGGACCTGTAACCGTGCAGTCTCGGTAATGATGGGATCTTCTGGCGTAGTGTTGCAGTCGCCAGCGATCAGCAGTTGGATCCCCCCTCCTATCGTAGCGTGCTGTTCTGCCACCCACTGCAGCATACCATTCCGTGCGTCGTCGTCGTCGGCCGCTCGCAAGTGTACCACAGCTAGCAGTGTTGTACGGTGAGCTGTGTGGATGTGAAAGATGGCACCCTCACCCCGAGCTCCAGCCCCTCCAGTGCCCGTCCGGCGCTCAGACGCGATCCGGGTGACCCGGACACGGCCCGTCGTCAGCACACTGATGCCACCACATTCGTCCCGTGTTCTACCACTCCTCCCGGTACCCACCACACGGTCGTCACAAGAGGTTCCACTCGTCCATACGTACCCGTGGTCAGCAGCGAGCTTGCCTGCCCTGGGTATGTCTGCATGCCGGCACCCATGCTCCAGCAGTACCAGCAACTCCAGTTCCAGCTCCTCGGCGGTAGCAAGAAGGTCCTTGCCATGCTGTGCCCAAGATGCGATATTGATCGTTCCCATCTTTATTGGTGTATTGGTCGCGCCTGCCCTCTGTAGTCCGGCTGGCGTAGTACATCCCGCAGAGAGGGGAAGGGAGGGAGGAGGGGGAGGGGGAGGGAGGACGGACGTGGGATTGGTCGTCGTGGCGGTTGGCTCCGCCTCAGCAGCGCCCGGCTGCTTTCTTCCGCTCCCGTGCCACCCGCTTTCGGCGCAGCCGCTCTGCTCGGGGCCGGATCTGGTGGACAGGCAGTGGAGGCAGGACTACTTGGCTCTTGGCCCTCTTGTCCCGCTGACCTCGTGTATCCAGCATGCCATCGGGTGACTTCTTCAGCAGAGTAGCCCTTTGCACCAGGCACCGCCATTGTTGGTCGTCGTACTCGGGGTGCTCCTTCAGCCGGTGCTCCCGCCGGATTTTCTTGTACGAAATTGTGTTTTTCGAGAAAGGCTGGCGGATGTCGCACACTGGGCACGTCCATGCGACCTTGTCGTCGGGCACGTCGTGGGACAGAAACGGCACTTCCGCTGAAGGTCGGTAGTTACCAGCGTCCTGCCAGTTTTCCCCAGGGTGCCATTTCCGTAGGTGCTTCGCCCGCTCGTGGGTGATGTGGTAGTTCGGGTGGACTTTCCGTGTCTTCCTGGCGGATCAGGGCCATGCGCCGTTCGTGATACCGCTTCCAGCAGAGGCCCCCCTCGGCCTCGCCCTGAACCTCGCCGATGGACGAGCCGCCCTGAACCAGAGGGGCGAAGTGGAAATGCGCCGCTGCACCCGTTCAGGGTTTCCTGTCATGCGCCTCGTCCAGTTCGACCTTAATCGCGCTGCCGATGCCTTTCGTCCTCTGCGCATGTCTTCCCAGGCGCGCGAGCTGCATGATGCGCTGACTGACATGGCCCACAGCAGTCTTGAACACGCCATGTTTCTTGCGACGGGGCGTCGCGAGGCTGGAATGAAGGGCGACTATCCGAGGACAGGCCCGCGGGCAAACTCTTTCTCCGTTCGCGGGATGGGCTCGGAGGGTTCCGCGGGCCACCCCGGCGCAACGGGGGGCCGGCTGACAATCGCCATAGCAACGGCTACAGGGTGACCACGATTGGCAAGGGCGGTCAGATTATCTGCGATGCATCGATAACTGCGCGCCCAGTGTTTCGCGAGCGCGACAATGACATCTTTGTCGACACTAGGAAGCTAGGCTATCCTCATGGCGCTGGACGCATCGGCGCCCGCCCTGAAGACAGCCTTTGCCGCGGGCGCGCATTTCCCTGACATCGCAAAGCGCGTCAGCCAGTCGCTGGCGATGTGCGAGAGTTTGGAGTTCGTCGCGATCGTGACGATGTGCAAATCAGGTAGGCACCAGCCCGCATCCGTTGCTTACGGGCCGAAGCAGTGCCCGATGAACAAACTGTTTCTGCTGCGCCGCGGGTCACCTGTGCGAGCGCGAGTGGGCTGCGGCGGATGTTACGACGATTGCAACGACGAGCAGGCGCGGGCCGTTGATGCGGCTGCAGACGACATGCACATGATAATGGAGCAGATCTCGGAGACCTACGCCGCTGCCGCGGCTGCGCCAACGCCCGAGCATCCTGCTCCAGCTCTAGGGGCCCGCAGCCATGCGACGACCTCTCTCGGCTCGCTCCGCGCATGCGGGGCGCGAGGAAAGACGCCCCCACCGCGGCATTCACGGCGAGGTCAACGACGACGCGGTCGCGAGGATGACCTGGGGCCGCGTCCACGACGAGGGTGGTCGCGAGCCCGTGAACTGCGCGCGCGGAGCCAGGGGGGCAGCTAAGCGCGCCGCGGCAGGCGTTGCCGCGATGGCGCCTGGGGCCGCGGCATCCTCCGCGGGGCCCGGCCACGGCCGAGGCGAGGCCGACGCCCGGCGGGCGCGGCCATGCCTTGCGCCGGAGCACAAGCCCGAGGTTAGCGCGCCCGGGGCTGCCGCGCTGACGCCGCGACAGCCTATGCCGCCGATGCCGCCGCCGCTGGAGGCCCCGAGGAATGCGGCGCCCGCGCCGCCACCGCCGCCTACTGGCGCGGCTGGCAGCGCGGGCCCCCGAGAGAGGGGCGCGCGGGCGAGCGTCGACGAGGGCGGAGATCCAGTCGTGGACTTCGAACCTCTGAGGGTCGCTGGCGAGCAGATAGAGACGCCGTTCGGCGCCCGCAAGAAGCGTCACAACATCACTTATACCGATCTCTCCACACTCGCTGAGCGCAGCGTGGCCGCTGAATCTACGGCCCCGGACAGTCGCTCGACGATTCGCGTCGACGTCAAGCTCGACCCTTTCGACGCGAGGATCAAGTTCCCGACGTCGATGCGCAGTGGCGCCCGCGGCCGCAAAACGCATGCACAGCGCACATGTACTCATCTGGTGGCGCAGACAGGTACGACGGGATGCGCGCGCGTGCCAGGCCTCCTCGATTTCGTCGCGGCGGCATTGTGTTCTTGCGCGTTTCCCTCGAGCTGGACGCGCACAACTTGCCGACCATGAGCGCGAAGAAGCGCGACCGCTTCAGTGCTGGGCTGACCGAGTTGGACAATTATGAGTTCATCCTCGCGCAGTCCCTGACGGAAGGCGCAATTGACAAGATGAAGTTCGCTGAGACGCGACTCGCGCACCGCTTGCCAGTGGGCAGGGCGTTGCGCTTCATCGTCGCCCTCGCTTTCGCGGGGGATGTCGGCGCGGGGGGCGCGGTCGTTCGCCCGGTCTGGGACGCGCGCGGATGCGCTGCCGCCGAGTGCAATACTGAGCTCATCGTTGCCCATGCATCTCTACCCAGCCACGACGCGGGCGGCGCCCGTAATTCTTTCGAGGAGGTGCCAAGGCATAGTGGCTCAGTTACTACCTCGCATGGTCACGAAGCACCATGCTAATACATCGAGTTCACGTGTGCTTTGTTTTTTTTCTAGAGTCAGATCACGACGCTAGCTCTCCCAGATTCCTGAATGTCTTGCGTGACTTAGGGTATCGGACCCGGCCAGATCGTCTCACTGCTCCGCAGCTGCAGGCTGCAGCGGACAGGGCAGGAGCGACCCTCGACGCTGTTGGCCACGGCGTGGGCGCGGCCGCGAGAGCAAGGGGGCACCCGGCGAATGAGGAGCAGGGCGCCCCGGAAAGGGGCCCCGAGAAGTCCCGGCTTGACGTCTTCCCGAGTGAGGGTCGCACTTGGTGGTTTCATCGGCAGTTCGGTAATGTCCCGAACCGTTTGCGCATTCGACTCATGAAGCTCTCATGGATGCCATTTGAATCTATTCGCAGCCAGGAACTGCAGGTGAGAGTCTTGTAAGCACCACGAACCGCTACGTCAGACGCATAAGGTAGCGATGCCGAAGCAAGTTTGATCCGATTGCGATATTGGAGTCACTTGCATAGAGGTCAAGGAGAACAGCGGTGAAATATACATTTTCCTGAACATCGTGCGCCAAGGAACGGCATTTCAGCGCGTGGTATTCGTCCGACGAGGTGGTGGCGCGCCGTCTTTCCGAACGCGCCCCCTTGCGCTCCAACAGCACTAGCGCATCTTAGCAGGTAAGCCATAGCGAATTGTGTCAGGCCGTGGTCTACACAGCGGGGGTGTTTTCCTGGCGGGTTAAAAGCCGAAGATTCGACCTCCGCGACGCCAGAGTCGAGTCCACGGAACAGATCGGACGCGCTGAAAGACGCGGTGGTCTGCGGAAGAACGCGCCTCGACAAGGGCGCGGTTCTCGACGAGAACGTCTTTGGCCTCGACGAAGATGCGGCGACGGCCGTGGAGGTGGACAACGCCGAGAGCGAGGTGTCCCGAGTTGGAGGGTTCTCGCCGTCTCAATGGGCGCTCGGCCAACCTGCCCCGCGCGCCGGGGAGCCTGTTCGACGATGAGGGAGCCTTCGACTTCGGTGTGCTGGCCAGCGTAGCGGAAGACAGGCCTTACGCGTTCTCGCGCCAAACAGCAATCCGCGCTGCCGCCAGGAAGGCGTTCGCCGAGCATGACGCAGGCAGCAGGGCCGCGCGCGCCGTGCATTGGAAGGCAGGGGGCGCCCTAAGCAGGCGAGTATAAGGTCGGGCGTATTGCGTGCTTTCGCGAAGGACCAGCCGACGGTGAGGTCACTTCCATGCGTGGCACAGGCTCAAGGACCGTGGAGTTCGACGGCGAAAACGCGCGGGTCATCACCGAAGGGGGCGCCTCTCGCGATCGATGGGCTCCGACCGCGTGCAGCGGCGGAGGCCCCTGCGCGCCTTTATCTCGCCGGACATAACGACGGTGGCGCGGCAAGGCGCGCCCCCCCCGGAAGGACAACAACAATCGTTCGCGGCGCGAGATGCCAGAGCCGCGACAGCCCGAAGACCGGCGAGAATATTCATTGCCGGCCATCCCAGACGAGCCAGAGGTAGAGAGCCGAAGGAGGAGTCTCACCTCATTGACCCTGCTGGAGACATGAGCGACGAAGACGAAGTAGACGCGGGGGTTCCTGCTGCCGAGCAACAAGAATCCGGGCCGCCCCGCGCAGACCGAACACCATTGCATGGGTCGTTGCTGGTCGGCGTGCCGCGCGGCATGCGTGGCCGCGGCGAAGTAACGCGGAGGAGACTCGACACTGGAGGATCGGCGTCATCGACAGGGCGCCGGGAGGAGTCGCCTCCGATTCAGCGTCGGGAACAGGACCCGAGCCAGCGAGTCCGCTGCTCGAGGCAGAGAACGCGCACTACAGGACAGAGCTTGAATATGCTTCGTAGAAGGTCGGAAGATGTAGCGATTGAGTCACATGGGTCAGTTGTTGGATTCTCCAACGAACGCCTCGGAATATAGCGAAGAGTGCCGAGTGCCTGGCGCGCCGCCGAGAATCCGAGGAAGCCAAGTGCGGTCTGCGACCCGCGAAACAGGACGAGTAGAATGGCGAATGTGTGAAGCGACCGCGCCCAGCGTTTCAGGAGAGGCACAGGCGCTTCTCGACGAAGGACATCGCATGGCGCCCGCGCAATGGGTCGAGACCGACAAGGATGAACGTCTTAGCATATAGGGTGGTTCGCTGGTTGCACTGAAGCACAAGAGCAGGCTCGCAGTGCGAGGAGTTCTGGAGGAATCATTTGGAATTCGGACGGGTTCACCGACATTTGAGTTCGAAGGCTTGAAATTGATTACTTCATGTGCTGCTGCATAGTCAATGGCGTTGCAACGCGCGGACATCGCATCAACCTACCTGCGCGGTCCAGAACTGGACCGCCCTACGTTGCTCAGATCACCTCCCAACGGACTCGAGGGAGCATCTGGTGGTGGAGCGCTTATTGCTCGCGCGCCTGTTTGCGGAGCCGCGATGCCAGACGAGACGCGTGGAATTCTATCCGCAAGCGTTTTAGAGCCCATGGTCTGAGAGCGAACCGCATCACGCCAGGCCCCCTCAGCATATCATGCGTCAATAGCGAGATCACGTGCAAGTAAGGCACTCACGTGCATGATCTACTTTGGGCTGCGGATGGCAGCCAGGAGATAATCGATTAGGTGTTGGCGGCGCTCGACATCTGGGACAGCAAGTCATGCGATTTGGGTTGCTGCGGACTGGAAGTAGTTCAAGGTGCAGATGACACAATTTCTGCTACGGCGAAAACAATATCGATAATGTCGAAGCTGCGCCCCATCCCAGGGGCAGCCTTCTTAGCCGGAAATGCAATGAAGGAGACGCGTCTTAATTCAAGTATGTTGCAGGTGTATTGTCATGGGCCGCTCGTCCGTACAAGCGTTCGTTACTTTGCCGCGTGAGTCGACTGCGGACGGCAGTGCACCATCGAATGTGTTTCGCCGCAATGGAGGCTAACCGCGTCGTGGAGGAAGCCGCGCGGACCTCGGACAGTGGACATGCGTTCAAGGGTGGAGCTGTTAGATGGGATGAGGTCATGCTATTTCCCACGGTGACCGACGCCAGCTGGGCCAGAGCAGACGACGTCGTCAAAGGCCGCCTGGGGCCGCCTAGGTCCCAGAGGGCCAGGTTCAGAGGAACCGTGGGTTTGTCGAGGGAACAGCGGTTACGGTCACCTTATTTGTATGTCATGTGAGATTATCAGGTTGGTGTGTAATTCTGCCCTACACGCAGAGACGTTGGCTTGTCTTTGGGGAGTAGAACCAGGCGTGCGCATTCGCGTTGCCATCGCTGACGCGCGTCGCATGCTTGGGTTAGGACACAAACTCCCCCCCGGCTGGGAGGATATGTCAGCCATGACCATGAGACATTTCTGGATGACGGATTGTAAGAGCCTCGAAGAGCACTTGATGGCACCAGCAATGGGAAAGGCAAAAGACAAACGCTGGAGTCTTGACTTGGGCAGTTTGCGCCAGGATGCCTGGACAAGAGTACAAGAGGAGGTAGACATCCTACAGCCTAGAGTATTTTGGTGGCGCGGTTCGTTGGACCGACGCGCGTACTATGGCCGTTGAGTGTCTCACGAACTATGCCCACGGATTTTTTGTCAACGTAACTCGTACAGGAACATACGACGCAACACCTTACCCCGACTCGACCGCTACGACGGTGAAGAAACAGCTGGCCAGGGCCAGAGAAAGCATTATTCCATCGGGGCAGTAATGTTACCTTTGAGTGTGCAATGCCTTGATTACCACGATCGTTTTGTGGATGTCTTTTCGTTCATTGACTGCTGTCCCTAGGGCTCTCGAGGGCTCACATTGTCGGATGCTTGTCTGCCTGCGATGCCCGACCAACCCGCTAACTCGTGACAGAGTTTGATGAGTGTGATATAGTACGCGCGCAGGACAAGTGACCAGCACCACTGGCCGCCGTTCGGTTCCTAAGACCCATGCCGCAGTCAAAAAAAACATCATCATTCACGCAGGGCTTCTTCGCGCTTGCAGCAGAAGTGTAGGCCTGAAGGCCGCACGTGTCGCCCCCAAGTGTGGACCCCCCCGTGTGATTTCCAATTGCAGCCCCCATGCGTAGCCCCGAAGTGTAGCTTCACGAGGCCAGGCCGTCCATCTAGCCACGCGCGCGCGCAAGGTGAAAATAAAACCGCTTGGGCCGCTTCATTCTGACGTAACCGTACGCTGTCGGAGGTCCGCGCGGAGTTGCTGAGTCGACGATGGGCCCCCTCTGGCAGCACCTTTGCCAAAGGGCGCCGAGCGCGGAGCGCGCCAGCGGCGGAGCCAAATTGGCGTTGCCGCTGGCGCGCTCCGCGCGCCAATGGGGGGGGGGCAGCGCCGATCCACGAAACCCGCGCAGACCTCCAGAAGGTCACGTGTCTGCTGCTGTTTTGCGTCTAGCGCTTGGGATTGCTGTTCTGCGTCTGACGCTTGGGATCGGAATTTCTGACCAGTCCAGACAGGCCAAGCACAGTACCGAGGCTTGCTCGGTGGTCTGCCCTCGCGCGAGGCCTCGGTGGCCCCTTTTCTCGTCTGTGTGGCCGAGAGCTCATGCTTCCTTGCGGAGAGGCGGGCGCGAGCCTCGGCGGTCTTCCTCGTGGTTGGGCTCTGGGGCTCGTCTCGGCGAGGGTTCGCGCGGAAATGACCAAGTCGTTGCCGTTGCGGGGGCAGTTTCGCGACCGATTGCGGACCCCACCCCTGAGGGTCCACCCGACGCTGTGGGATCGGACACCCCCGCTGGGGTTTACATGGCTGCGGACGTGTTCTGGATCATAGACGTTTCGCGTAACCCCACCGGCCCACACAGAAACGATGCTTTGGCGAGTTGCTCTGACCAGGGAGGGACGCGGAGGAGCATGCAATGTAATAACGGGCTGGGGAAACCGTCGTACCCCAAGAGGTGAATGATGGAGGATGAGGAGGTGGAGGAGGAGGATGAGAAGACGAGAGGGAGGGGGAAGAGGGAATAATGAGGAGGGAGGGGGAGGAAGAGGAGGATGAGGAGGAGGAGGAGGAGGAGAAGGGAGGGGGAGGAGGAGGATGAGGAGGAGATGCTGGTAATACGACGAATATTCATAGTTGTAATGATAAGAATAATTAATAATATGCGGAGGAGGAATACTATGCGGATGAGGAGGAGAAGGAGGAGGAGGAGGAGGAGGCAGTGGAGGAGGAGGAGGAGGAAAAGGAGGAGGAGGAGAAGGTCGAGCAGAAAGGCCAGAGGCCTCGTGGATGTCTCTCGGAGTCTCTTCGGATACCTCTTGAGAGTTTCTTAGGGTCCTCTTGCTCTTGGAGCGTCTTGGGTGCATCGGGGGAGCCTCTTGGGGCCTCTTGGGGGTCTTTGGGGAGCCTGCTGGGGATCTCTTGGTGGCCTCTTGGGGCTTCCCAGGCGCTTCTTGGGGCCTTCTTGAGGCACTTTTGGGAGCTTTGGGGGCCATCTTGGAGGAGATCGGTCAAAGACAGGGAGTATTGAATTAGTCCCCCCCACAAAAAGACTGCAACATTGGCCAAACACATAAGTAGCATCAGTCATGTGTGCCTTGCCGCCGAGGCCATCTTGGACGCTCCAATGGGTCGCGACCCCCCCCCCGTCCAGGTCTAGGGGTAGGGGGAAGGGGTGAGCCTCTCCCCAAAAGGGAAGAAGGTGTGGTGGAAGAGGAAGCGCTCTAAACCTTTCACGCCCAACAGGCTGGTAGGATTCTGAACCCCAGCCGCCGTTTCAGAAATCTGACCTGCAGGGGTCGTGTTCACATCTGGTTGCAGAAGAGTGCCGCAGTAGTCCCTCCGTGCCAGCTCGCGCGTGGGCAAAGTCGTTAGAAGCGGACGCCCGCCGAGGAGTTTCCGTTTGGGACGTCCGACTGCTCTCCCACCAGTAAGTTTCCCTGGGCATTCCGGGACCGTTGAAACAGAATTCGGGACGAAGATGGCGAAACGCTCCCTGGGATCCAGCACGCGTTTCCCTCTGGTCCAGTTCCCCTCGTTCCGAGCACAGGCTTGCTGAGATGAGCTGGCGCTGGCTCGAGGTTTTCTTTCGGGGAGGGCGACGGGAGGTGTGCGTCTCAGTGCGCGGGGCCTGGCGGCACGCTAAAGCTGTGTTCCCGAGTTTCCTTTTCCCGTTTATCGTTGAGTTCCTCCTCGCCGTTGCTGTCAAAGTTAGGTCCCCCCCGTCTTCTCTTCCAGACGGCTGTGAGCTCCTCCATGATTCTTCCAAGCGGTTGTGGATTCTTCCATGTTGCCTAGCATTATGCAGGCTTGCCTGTATGCCCCGAGGCAGCCTTTACCACGTCTCCTCAGGAGGAGAAGCAGGAGCTGGTGGAAGCCATCGACGCCCTGCGCACGGCCTTGAAGGAGGAGACGAAGTATTCGGATGAGGATATAGCGAGCGATCCAGATGTACTCGCTTTGTGCGAAAAGCTCCAAGCAATGGGCGTGGATACGTCGCACATCACTCTTCGCAAGATGGACTTGGGATTTCAGCATGCGACTAGAAAGCAGGCCCTCTCGGAGTGGTACAGAAGAAAATGGCAACGACGACACGGTATGCTCCCCGAGCATTTCTTGAACAAGGCTGACGGGAAGTCTTACAAGAAGCGCAAGAAGTTGACCAAAGACTTCATAACACAGAAGATACGGCGACTTTCGAAGGCACAGAGAAAGCGCAAGACGGACGCCGTGGAAAAGTCAGCAGAGGACTCGTCCACGACTCTTCCACGACTCACCCCTGACTTTGCCGATGCGATCGCGGCGGACGTATAGGAAGTCGTCGATATCACCCTTGCTCCTTAGGCTGGTGGCCGTCCTACGGTCAGGATCTCTGGCTCAGCATTCAACAGAGGAAAGCACACCCGGACCTGACAATTGGCGTTTACGAAACGGCCTTGGGTGTTCACTAACAGCCCTGTCCCGTTCGAACTCCTTTTGGGTACATTTACTAAACGGCCTCGCTTGTCGGGGTGGTTTCTATGAGGGTGTACACATTGGTCATGTTGAATGTTTCGAAAGTTCTTTGATTTTTTTGGGGGGCCGAGATCCTTTCATGTCTAAATGTTCTGTCCTGGGCCTCCTCCTGGCCACTGGGGGGGCCAGGAACCACTTAGAAACGAGCACACTCAGAAACGAGCACGATCAGAACTGAACGACGTGTACGTTCACTGAGCGGCCTCGCTTGTCGGGGTGGCTGCTACGAGGGTGTATGCTTTGCCCCCCTGAGCGTGCCGCTCCCCCCGTCCTGCCCCACCACGCTCCGGAGCGACACGCTGCCCGCGCGCTTGGGCGTTGCGTAATGGGGGGGTCATAAATGGGGGGTTGGTGAGGGTGGTCCGAAAAGGTACCCAAACGGTACCTAAACGAGCCCCCTGGGGGTCCAGAGGGGCCCGAAAGGGGCACGAAAGGGGACCGTTTCTGACCCCCCCATTTGTGACCCCCCCATTAAGCCACGCCCAACGCGCCCCGGCCCCCGAGCGTCCCCGCCCCGCGCTGTGCTCCCGGCCCTCTCCGCACCGCGGCGCGGCGAGCGGCGCGCTACGGTGGGGGCCTTCGTTCAGGAGTGCGCCCAGGAGGAGGAGGGGGAGGAGGAGGAGGAGGAGGAGGGGGAGGAGGAGGAGGAGGAGAAGGAGGAGGAGGAGGAGAAGGAGGAGGAGGAGGAGGAGGCGGAGGAGAAGGAGGAGAAGGAGGAGGAGGAGAAGGCAGACCCTGGAGGATGCCTTACCTGATGAGGGCGGTGGTGACATCCATGGCCGACCCACGATTGTATGTCCGCCGGCGTCCAGACCCTGGATCCCTTAGCTAAGGGTGCCTTGTCCAATGCCCCCACCGCATCTCTGCTCGCAGGGCGTGGCGTGGCGCCAGGGCCGCTGCAGCAGCACGCTGTCCAGAAGTTCCCGACCGCAGCCTTAAATCGGGCATGTCCTTCCACAGGAGGAATACTCAGAAATAGTAAAAAATAGTCTGTTCACGATTTTTGGACCATGTTTCACTATCTTTGAGTATTTTTGACTACTTTTCATTTTTCCTCCAAAATCCGTCTGTAGGGGGACATGCCCGAACCTAACCGTACGGTAGCCGCTTCACGGTGCCGCCACCCGTGTCACCTTCGCGCACGGCCCTCGCATCCTCCCTCTGCCCACTTGCTGCGCCCGCCCCCTCCCTTCTCCCCCCCTGCATGCCGTTCCTCCTTCCGCTTTCTCGGAGGAGGGCAGCTTGAGACACAGGCTGCACCTCCCGAAAGAGGAGTTGGACGAGGAGGAGGAGGACGAAGAGGAGCAGGAGCAGGAGCAGGAGGAGGATGAGGATGAGGAGCAGGAGGAGGAGGAGGAGGAGGAGGAGGAGGAGGAGGAAGGAAGAGGAATGAGGAAGAGGAGGAGGAGCAGGAGGTTGAGGAGGAAGGAGGAAGGAGGAATGAGGAAGCTGCTGCAGGATGATGTTGCTGATGCTGCTGATGATCATGCTGCTGATGATGATGCTGATGCTGATGATGATGATGATGCTGATGATGATGATGCTGATGATGATGATGATGATGATGATGATGATGATGATGATGCTGATGCTGATGCTGATGCTGATGCTGATGCTGATGGTGTTGATGATTATGATGATGATGATGGTGATGATGATGATGATGATGATGATGAGGAGGAGGAGGAGGAGGAGGAGGAAGGAGGGCCAGGAGGAGATGAGGTAGGAGGAGGAGGAGGAGGAGGAGGAGGAGGACGAGCAGCAGGAGCAGGAGCAGGAGCAGGAGCAGGAGGAGGAGGAGGAGGAGCAGGAGGAGCAGGAGGAAGAAGGAGGAGGAGGAGGAAGGAGGAAGGATGAAGGAGGAAGGAGGAGGAGGAGGAGGAGGAGGAGTGAGGAAGCTGCTGGATGATGATGATGATGATGATGATGATGATGATGATGATGATGATGATGATGATGATGATGCTGATGCTGATGCTGCTGATGCTGATGCTGATGATGATATTGATGATGCTGATGATGCTGATGATGATCTGCTGCTGATGATGAGGCTGATGGTGATGATGATGTTGATGATACAGATGCTGATGATGATGGTGGTGATGCTGCTGCTGATGATGATGATAATGATGCTGCTTATGCTGATGATGGTTATGATGATGATGAGGAGGAGGATGGTTATGATGCTGCTGCTGATGATGATGTTGTTGATGATGCTGATGATTGTGGTGGTGGTGATGATGCCTATGATGATGCTTCTGATGATGCAGATGGAGACGATGACGATGATGATGATGATGATGATGATGATGATGATGATGATGACGAGTACGCTGATGATGCCGATGATGATGACGATGATGCTGATGAAGATGATGAGGATGATGATGATGATGATGATGGTGGTGGTGATGATGATGAGGGTGATGATGCTGATGATGATGCATATTATGTTGCTGCTGCTGCTGATGCTGATGATGATGACGATGGTGGTGGTGATGATAATGCTGCTGATGATGATGCTGATGATGAAGAAGATGACGATGATGATGATGATGATGGTGATGACGATGATGGTGGTGATGATGATGATGATGATGTTGTTGATGATGATGATGATGATGATGATGATGATGATGATGATGATGATGGTGGTGGTGGTGGTGGTGAAAGTGATGGTGGTGAAGATGCTGCTGCTGCTGGTGATGATGATGATGATGATGAGGAGGAGGAGGAGGAGGAGGAGGAAGGAGGGCCAGGAGGATATGATGGAGGAGGAGGAGGAGACGGAAGAGGAGGAGGAGGAGGAGGAGGAGGGGAGGAGGCGAGGAGGGAGGCGGTGCTGGCTGCCTCTCCCTGTCCTTTAGAAGGCCTCTCGGCGCCCTCGCACTGCCGGCTCGGCGCCGGCTCTCGCCGCCTCCCTGCCACATCGCTCTCCGCCTCGGGGCTGCCTCGCTCCTGCCTGCTCTGCCCTCGTCCTCTGCCTCCTGCCCTCCCCCGCCCATCGCCATGTGCCCTCTGCTCTGGCGCCCTCCCCCCTGCTCCATTGCTCCTTCCTCGCCCCTCGCCCGAACGAAGGATTGCAAACAAAAACCTTCATCCTGGTTCCTCTCGTCGCAATCCTTGCACGAAGGATTGCAAAACAAAAACCGAACGAAGGTTTTTTTTGTTTTTTGCAATCCGAACGAAGGGTTTTTTTTGCAATCCTTCATCCTGGTTCCTCTCGTCGCCGTCAGAGGCAGCCTGCTTCGCCCTGGCCCCCGCGCTCTCGCCCCCCCCGCCTGCTGAGGCGCTGTCCCTCGCTCCCGCTTCTCCTCGGCTCTGGCTGCCTGCCGCTGCTGCTCTGCACTTCCCCCTGTCTCCTGCGGCTCACCTCGTGCTCCTCGGTGCTGCAAGAGCAGGCGCATCGAGCAAGGCATCAGCCTGCCAGCAGGCGCCCACAGACAAATTTCTGATCCTCCGACGGCTTCAGGGATCCTCAGAAGCTCTGCGGCACCGGAGGGCCCTCCACTCTGCGGACGACTTGTGTGCACCGTACTGCGTTGGCCTCTCCTGAGGCGTAGTCGGTCTTCGATCTGGGACTAGTATGGCTGGTATGCTGCACAGTTTTTGTTTCGGTCCCAGACCCGAAAAGACTAGGCACCGTGCCGCGTTGGAGCGGGGCCTGAAGGGAGTCTAAACGTGGTACGGTGCATGCTGAGGCTCCGTTCTATCTAGTTTCAAAGATCGACGAGGAAGTGTTAAGTCGGGCGTGTCCCTCTACAGGAGGAGTATTCAGAAATATTTTAGATCATTTTCTGGGGGCGATTATTCGATGATTTGTTTGATTGTGTTTGCCCACTTTTTATTGTTCGCACAAAATCCGCCTGTAGGGGGACATGCCCGACCTAACATCAGTGGCATGCGTGGCATGGCCTTTCTTTCATGCCTTGTTTTGCCGACTGCCTGGTGGGCCGTGTGGTGTCGCATCGCGACCACAGCACTGGCCACGGCGCTTGTCTGATGATAGGACACTTTTTTCAGACGTGCGGTGATTGATGGCATGCGTGGCGTGGCTTGTCATTCATGCCTTTTTGCCGGCTGCCTGGTGTGCCGTGTTGTGGAGCACCGCGGCTATAGTGCTTGTTATGGTGTCTGCATGAGGTGTGTGGAGAATCTTCAGACGTGTGGCTTTTGCTGGCATGTGTGGCATGGCTTGACTTTCGTGCCTTTTTGCCGACTGATTGCTGGGCCGTGTAGTGGCACACCGCGGCTACAGTGCTGGGCACGGGAGGCGGATGCGACGCAGCGAAGCTTCATGCGTGAGGTTATTGATGGCATGCGTGGCATGGCTCTCGTCTTTCATGTCTTTCTGCCGACTGCCTGGTGGGCCGTGTAGTGGCGCACCGCGGCTACAGTGCTGGCCACGGCAGGTGGATGCTGTGCAGCGAAGTTTCAGACGCGTGGTTATTGGTGGCCGTTCATGTCTTTCTGCCGACTGCCTGGTGGGCCGTGTAGTGGCGCACCGCGGCTACAGTGCTGGCCACGGCAGGTGGATGCTGTGCAGCGAAGTTTCAGACGCGTGGTTATTGGTGGCCGTTCATGTCTTTCTGCCGACTGATTGCTGGGCCGTGTAGTGGCACACCGCGGCTACAGTGCTGGGCACGGGAGGCGGATGCGACGCAGCGAAGCTTCATGCGTGAGGTTGTTGATGGCATGCGTGGCATGGCTCTCGTCTTTCATGTCTTTCTGCCGACTGCCTGGTGGGCCGTGTAGTGGCGCACCGCGGCTACAGTGCTGGCCACGGCAGGTGGATGCTG